ACTCTGTCAACTTAATACAGACCAGCCTACAGTCTTGGCTTCTATAAATCAGTTTAATGCCTCTTCACGCCGCTGCCGAAACACTGTTTTGTATTATATTCACTTACTACAACCCTCTGCTTCAGGAACTGGCTGACCACCAACTACTTTTTTTCTCAGAGATACATGTCTGTCATCATTTATACAATTAAAGAATAGTCAAAGTTGGGAAACTACCTGTAGTGTAAGCCCTGACAGTTTTTTTTTTTTGTAATGCAAGCACCTGACTTAAGCTTTGATTGTGGAGGCATCCATTTCAAAGAGCCATCCACTTCAAAGACGGCTATCTCTAATAAACACATGGCCAGCCACAGGACTAGAGAAAGAGCCAGCCCTCCTCCCCCAACTGAGGCTCCTCTGTTTTAGAGATCTTGGTTGATTTCAATAGCTGATCATTTGGGCCACTTTTTGTTTGTCTTCCTTCACTTTAAATTCCCACTCTTATGTTTTAAATTCACCAAGCTTGCGAAACCATAGGTCCCCACCCTCAACTCTAATAACAGCAGAACCCCAGGCCAGTGCTCTCTCTCTCTCTCTCCCCACAACTTCACTGTGTGGCCCCAGGTGTGCTGCGTAATTTTCAGGTCTTGTAAGTAATAAACCTTTATTTTTTCAAAGTTTCCTGGTGGTTATTGCTGAAGAGCATCTTGCAATCATAATAAGAACCACGAGGGCTGGTGCAACCACAACATTGATTATTGACAGACTGAGACCAGTCAAAACATTACCTTAGAGTTTCATGTCAGATATTAAGAGAAGTTATATATAAGAAAAATTATGAGGTTATTTCACATTTTGTTTCCCTAAAATGTGACAGATATGTTGCTATTTAATAAACTAATCTTTTGTGGAATTTGAACACATTCATGTTTTTCCTTGATTTTTTTAAGAGTTATTGGCTGACTGGGGTTGCATTTGTTTTAATATGACGAATTCCTATTTTGAGGCTTTTGTTGTTGATTTTGTAAGAAGCAAACTGTAAAACCAGAGCAAAGACAGCTCATTTGTATAAGCAGGAAAATCCTCTAGTCTAAAATGACTTCTAATCAGAGAATTACTATTTTCTATGTAAAACATAAACAGGATTCAAAATAATTCACAGAATGTAAATGCAAAGGGCATAAGATTTTATTCAGCTTTCTTTCGTAGCTGAGAGGTTTTGAAGAGTAAAAGTGATTGGATTTAATTGCCTATAACACACTTTACTCTAAAGTCACTTATCTTCTCTTAACATACTTCTACTCATTTTTCAGAGACGGATGAAGGCATACCTCCCTTGGATAGGGCTATTTCTTAGTCCCCTCCTCATCCTTCCCACCCACAACAGGGCCTTGTGCCTAAATGCATGCTTGTTGATTGACTTGAAATGAATTTCTATGGCTTTTAAATTCCATGTTGATATATTGAAAAAATTGAAGAAGATTGTTCAGTCTAACAAGTGTTTATTTAGCATCCACTATGTACCAGGCACTGCTGAAATTGTGACCATTTTCAAATTAAAGAAACAAAAATGAAACAAAACATCTCTGATAGTGAGATGCTTAAAATCCAGGGGGAACATCTATCTAACTTGACCTCCCTCCAACATTGTGTACTTTTGACTACTTTCCTATATTTGTAATATATTTTTAACTTGACTTTCTAACACTCATAATTTTCTTTTTACTTCACTGGCTATTCCTTCTTAGTCTTTTGTGGTATCCTCTTCGCCAATTCCTGAAATGTAAGATTTTCTCACAATGCCACGCTAGAGAAAGCTCCTTCTCCTCTCATTCTACACATATTCTTGGGCTTTAATAACTATTTTTATGAGAGGCAGCCAAGCACTGTGGTTAAGAATACAGGCTACTGGGGCCAGCCCAGTGGCATAGCAGTTAAGTTCACGCATTCTACTTCTGTGGTCCGGGGTTCTCTGGTTCGGATCCTGGGCGCAGACCTGCTTACTGCTCATCAAGCCATGCTGGGATGGCATCCCACATAGAAGAGCTACGACTCTACAACTATGATATACAACTATGTACTGGGACTTTGGGGAGAAAAAACGAAAAAGAGGAAGATTGGCAACAGATGTTAGCACAGGGCCAATCCTCCTCAAAATAAATAAATAAATAAAAAAGAATATAGGCTATTGAATCATACTGCCAGTGTCTGAACCCTGGGGCACACCTTTACTCCTACATGACCCTTCAATCCATTCTTCACATTGCAGCCAGAGAGTCATCTCTGTAGGAGGCAAATTTGATCAGGTATATCCATATTTACAACTATCAATGGCTTCCCATTTCCACAGACTCACAGTCCCTTATCTAAGGCAGTGGAGACAGATGAGTTTTGGAATCCAGAGTTTTTCAGATTTTAGAAAGATAATAGAATGGATAAACTGTATATTATATAATATATCCCCATTAATGAGAAGAAGAAAAGAATATGCATGATTTCCATTAGTTTGAGCCATGCGAGTCCATCTAAAGAAGATAGATCATGTCATCTTTCACCACCAAATTAGTTCTAAAAAAAGATTTTGATTTTCAGAGACTTTGGGACCTTTGAAGACTGTCCAAACCCTCACCATGACTTACAGAGCTCCTTGTAATCTGGTTCCTGTCTGTCTCCAACCTCATCTTTCATCTCTCCTCTTCTGACATTCTTTGCTGATGCCGAGCTTCTGGAAACAAGGCCCCTTTGGTTGACTAACTCCTCCTCCGCCTTCACTCTTAAGCTGAGCTGAAGCTATCTGGTATCTTTTGAAGATAAAATTAGGGCATAGAGACACCAGGTGTGAGATAATTGGGGGTCAGATCATAGGATGACTTGCATCAAATACTTAGGAAATTGAATTCAAGTTTGAAAAGGCTGACATAGACTTTGAGAAAAACCATTCAGAGAGATGCATAGGGAATAGAGTCGAGATAGGGGAGACCAGGGGCTCGGGGGGCTCACTGAGGACCACTTGCAGTAACAAAGGCAAAATAGCTGAGTTACGGCAAGATAGGAAAATGAAGGATTCTCATATGTTTTGGGGATTAAAAATAGCAAGACATGCTGATCTGAGATTGGAGATGGGAAGTGAGGAAGAGGGAGGTCATTGATCTCTCCCAGGGACCCCATTTTCAGAGTTGCATAGATGTTATAGGTGTACTATAATGAAGACAGGGTGCAAAGGAATAGAAGCAGATCTGGGCCGAGAGACTCTGTTCATGAGGGCAGTTGAGCCACTGCTGGGTTTACTGTTTTTGTGAAACATTTACAGGAATATGTGCATCAAGAAAAAGTTCAAAAGTCTAGAGACAAGATAAGATAGAAGATATTTAGGTGATGATAACACCATCAATTTCCTAATTTATCCATGAAGTAAGTATTTATGGAACAACAACTATATAACTTGGACTATTCTTGAGCTGAGGATTCAGTGTTGAATCCTGCCTGCCCCTCCTCTTGGAGATTATAGTCAGAGATGTGCCACTCAAAGAGAAGGTCATAGACCAGGGTAAATGAATGACGTTACCAAACCTATGATTTAGTTAAGTTGATGTTTTTAATTATGCAAGACTTCTTAATGAGGGAGGCAATTCATTGATTTACTTGTTGATATATGCTATTTATCTCGTGGCAAATGGTAGCTAACTCTCACGGACTGGCTTAAGTTGCACTGCTCTAGTCTGAAGGACAATCTAAAAAATAAACATGTTATAAAAATGATAGACTTAAGTACAGGGATGATAGAAATCATCATCCTAATTTAGGGGAACCTAATTTATCCCGGGACATGGTGGTTAGAAAGTGAGGAAAGGCTTAATTATCCAGATAAAGAAAGAACATTAAGGGCAGAGAAAATAGCATGTCCTTGTGGTAGGAAAAAGCTTCAGATATTTTAATTGTGGAGCAGAGGCAGTGTGTTTGTGAGAGAGGAAAAGAGTATGGTGTGAAGACAAGGTTGGAGACACAGGCAAGGACACGATTGTGCGGCCCTGCAGGTCACGTAGAGGATTTGTGTTTTATCATACTTGTATTAGAAAGTGATGAAAAAGTTTTAATCAGGAGAGTGACATGACCAGTTTTTAGTTCTAAGAAGATCATCAGGCACGGATGGAGAGAAAATTTGGAGGACACAATTTTTGAAAATGAGATAGGCAATGTTGAAACTCTTTCAATAGTTCTGCCAAGAGTGAGACTACTTTGAACTGGAGCAGTGGTTCTCCACCAGAACTGCTTTTGCCCCCCGTACAATTTTTGGAAACATTTTTAATTGTCATAATTTGGGGGTGGGGAGGGGAACATGTATCACTGGCATCTGGTGGACAGAGGCTAAGGATACTGAAAATATCTAACAATGCACAGGATACTCCTCACAACAAAGAATTTTCCAGTCCAAAATGTTAATGATGATGAGATTGAGAAATCCTGGATTAGGTAGATTTACAATAAATTTGGAAGATAGAATCGGTCATATTCAGGGTGGATTGCATATATTAGGAGGATTCCAAGGTTTCTGAGTTAAACAACTAGGTGGGTGGAAATACTGCTTACTCAGATGAGAAAAAATATATTTTCTCTCCCTATGGAAAAGCAAAAGTTCAATTTCATACAGATAAAAGTTTGACACCCATGAAACCTCCGAATGGAAATGGCTAGTAGGTAACTGGATATCTGTGTCTAGAATTAAAAAAATAAGAAAGATGTGTGTACTGGAAATATACATCTGAATGTCATAGAATACAGATAGTATTTTAAGACATGAAGGGGAGGTGCCTCTGCTACAGAGAGAATATGTCTCGAGACCAGGATTAAGCCTCAAGGAACACTATATCCAGGAACCCAGCTAAGGGTAACAGACAATTAGGTGAAAGTTAGAAAGCCAGGAGTGTGTTGTCTTGCAAGTACATAGAGGAACATGTTTGAGGATCAAGGGCACAGTCAGCTGTCGTGAATGTGGTTAAATGTTCACATAGGATAATCCTAAAATGTCGATTGCATTTAGCAGCATAGAGCCACTGCTGATCATGTCAGTGAAATTTCAGAAGACTGTTAAACCAAAGAGAAACAAAATGATTATTGAAAAAAGACTAAGAAGTGAGTTAGTTGACAAACTGATTACAGAACTCTTCAGCGAATTCTATCTTTAAAAATAAGAAGAACATATAATCTTGGAGGTAATGACACTATTTAAAATTTTTGGATTGAAGAAGGTTGTTTGTATGTTTATAATGCTGAGAAAACAGAACCATTATAATGGGTGAGGATGAAGCCGTTGGAAAAAGAAAGAAATAACAGTCTATTAAGGCTGCAAAGGTAACTTTACTTGGGGTGAGTGTGGGGGATAGACATCTAAGGTCACTTCAACCACTGAACTGGCTATGATTAACTTGGGGATTATATTTAATTACGAAAGAGATATTTATATTCACTTAATATTTTATTAAAGGTAATTTTTAAAAGAAAAAACAACTAGTTCACATGTGTATATTTATCTTGGATGAATGTAAAAATAAAGAGTTAATGATTTGATATATTCCTTCCTTTCATAAATAATTTGAAGCACCCACTATGTGCCAGGCACTCGGCCAAAGAAAATTAAGTTTTGTTGCCGATGCTAAGGAACATTTGTAAACTTGACTCTTCACACATACGACTGTGCTGCAAGTTCAAATGACTGAAATCTTAGTCTGCACAACTCATTTCAAGACATCCCTTCTAATTCCTCCACAGTGTGTGTGTGTGTGTGTGTGTGTGTGTGTGTGCGCGCGCGCGCGCGCGCGCGCGCGTTCACCCAGACGGATTTATGGCAGAATAGTTAAAGCTTAGTTGAGATGAACACCTGTCAGACAAAAGAATTTCACTTTCGCTTTGAGAAATAAGAAAGATTTGGAGGAGTGAGCAATACATTTGGTAGACATTTGTAAGCAAAACAATGGGCAGACTATTTCATTGGTGCCAGATAAGCAAAACTATAGGAGATTAGAAAAAACAATCATCTGCGAAACAAACAAAAAAGATCAAATTACATAAATAGCATTTTGTTTTTCAATTTCTAAAAGATGCTTTAAGGCTGATGTTGGATATTATAATAAGTGAAAAAGAAAGACATTTCTAATTCCAGAACTTTTCTTTATACCATTGATTATTTTTTTATGGTGATAAGGATAATTTTAACTACTTAATATGAAGGTAAATTTTATGCTGCTTTGTCTTTCTAGAATGATGAGCAAAAGAGAACTCAGCGGGGAGTGAAATGATTCACTCTCTGAGGTGTCTTATTTCTTACACCCAACTGAGTTGGCAAAGGTTAGCACACTATTAAAATTCAAGTTTTTGCAAATGTATTTCATTGGTAGTCAACTCATTCAAGATATACCAGTTTTTAGCAATTATTCTCAGTGATAGTCTAAGTATTTGCCAAAGAATTCTCTGCCTCACATGGAAAAAGAATCCAGTAACTCCATGCTGGGTAAAACTTTAGTTGCTTAATGATGATAAGCTAAATGAAAGGACAGATAGAAGGCAGTTTGAAACAACCACATCCATGGTAACTTTGAATACCAGAAAAATAACTAAAAGAATTAAGAAGCTGTTCCTTCAGTGGCTGTATTTGGGGATTTCATAAAAGAATACATACGTAGGCACATCAGATAAAATGCAAATGTTATCACATTGAAATGTTATTTTTTCACCTGGGAATTCGTTGTTCAAGTGATTCTGGGAGCAAAAAAGACAAGCTTCTCAAGTTGCCAGCATAGCATTGTGGTTCCTGCTGGCTTTGGAGACAGATACATCAGGGTTACTAAATTGGTGACAATTCTTATCTCATAAGGTTGTTGCAAGGATTAAATGATACCACAATTTTCAATGTTTTATATATAGTAAATACTCGGTAAAACATATACAAATATTTGGGAGGGAGGTGCTGATGACTGTTAGGAATACATTGCTGGTAACAATTTATACACTCATGATCAAAATCCCCAGAGTCCAGCTCAGTGAAGAAGAGAGGGCACCATCTACATCATGACCAATGTCTCTGAAGGCAAACCACACCTTATTTCTGAAAATAAAAAAAGAGAGAAGTGGAGCGGCTTCTATAAGCCAGAACAGGGAAACGGCAGTTAAGAACACATAAATGTGTTCTGTTATAATCATAGCTGAGGTTAATTAGTTATTTTCATGATAAGACATGCATAAGAAAAGGGAGAGTTGACATCACATCCAGCATAGTGAGGGTATATATCTACATGGCTGGGAGAAGTCAGGGATATCAGAGCATCTTCTCACTACAGCTCAGCTAAACTCACATCTCCTGTCAACGTGTCCTACAACTGCTGCTCTGGAAAATTCTCCTCCTGCTCCCTTGGGGGCTACCTGCGCTACCCAGGCTCCTCCTGTGGCTCTTCCTACCCCAGCAACCTGGTCTACGGCACTGACTTCTGCTCTCTCAGTAACTGCCAGCTGGGCTCCTCTCTCTGCAGTGGCTGTCAGAGGACATGGTGGGAGCCCACCAGATATCAGGCACCCTGTGTGGTGTCCAGCCCCTGCCAGAAGTCCTGCTACCACTCGAGGATCTCCACACTCTGGAGTCCCTGCCAGTCAACTTATGCTGGGTTTCTGGGCTCTGGGTCCAGCAGCTGCTGCTCCCTGGCATATGGATCTAGAAGTTGCTATTCAGGGGGCTGTGGATCCAGTGGCTTTAGCCCTCCGAGTTTTGGAGTGTGTGGCTTCCCTTCCCTGCCCTATGGATCCAGATTCTGCCACCCAACCTACTTGCCTTCTAGGAGCTGCCAAACTTCTTGTTACCAACGAACCTGTAGATCTAGCTTCTACTACTGATCAACCTGTTAAGAGTTCTAGACTGTGACTCCACAGTTATCTCCCTCAAAGTCAATCTTAGCTATTATCTGGCTAGAGTCTATACTCTACTACCTAGAAGAGTGACAATTAAAGAAAAATTTTATTAATATTAAAACCATTTATCTCATAGAGACCCATTCTGTTTTCTTCTATTTTCTTTCTTACTTCTCAAGTTAAAAATGGAGCAAGAGGTACTTTTCCCTTTCAAATAAATTCATTTAACCTGATATCAGATCACAAGTCTTACTGTTAATTTAAAAAAAAAAAAGATGTCTGTTGGGAATTCCAAACCTACTGTTCTTTGTCTAAAAAGAAATATTTAATTTAAGGAGTAGGTTTCCAGGTAAGTAGAATTCTCTGACAACACAGAGTTAGGTCCCTGGAATTTTGGGCAAGAAGAATTAGAGCTTGAGCAGGAGATTATCCTAAACTCATCTGTGCATGGTCATTTCAGCCTTATCAGGATGCCTTACCTTGGTTAAACTACTAATAGTTCTGATCCAAGAAGAAAAGCTTCAGCAAGTTGTATCCTGGCTGTTTTAGATGAGGAAATTGTCAAAACATTTCTCATGAGCCTTTTTCACAGACTGATGAAGCCATAACAATGGAATTCTGAGGTCATGATATTAACTGACCACAGTAACTGGTGCAATGAAACAAAGATCTTAAGCAAGCATAAAATTAAACATATATGCATATTATTATAATAAAAGGAATACAATTTCTAAGAGTTATTTCTTACATTGGTGTTTCACTCTCTCCTCCTTCTATTTGGCCCCTATAAGGCCATCTGTTTTCATAGAAGTCATCTGAGAACTGAAAACATGGCAGTTTCATGAGTAAGTAATATTAACTGAGAGGGAAGACTTGACCTCTTATATCTTGGGCTTAGATCTGGATGTGATAACTAGATAGTCTACTCAATTCTCTTGTTTTGGGAAATGCAGTCATCTATATTTGAAAATACCTAAGTGGGAAGAAAAATATGTAAGTGGATGTGGGTAGCCCATTGTTCCTTGCACTCTTGAGTGTTTTCCTCTTCTCTCTTCTTCCTACAAGAACTAGGTTTTGTTTGCAGATCTCTTCTTATCTACATATAGTCAGTTCTTTAAATGAACATGGCTAGCCCCAGGTGTCAGCATCGAATCTGGCTAGTCTAAGGGCACCCCAATCCCTACTGAAAATGATTGGTTCAGGATGGAGCACGTGATCTGACTTAAACCAATGAGAAACAAGGAGTGATGTGAAGAGGTACTTCTGACAAGTTCTTCTTGTAGAGTGTTTTGAAGCAACCATCTCATTCTCTGGACTTTGTCATACCATATATGGAATGCTGCATGCATCTTGCATATGGCCTCAAAATTAAACCATCACATGGAAGAGGGCAAAACTAGGAGTAATGCTGGGGAACAGAGCCCAGATCATCTTATTTTTGGACTTTGGTAAGTGTACGCCAATAAATTTTCCTATTACTTAAGCCATTTTGAATTACAATTTCTGTTTCTTGTAGCTAATGTTTTCCTAAGTGAGACACTCATTTAAAACCTGAAACAATCCCTCTTCCCAATAAGGCCCCTTAATGTAATGTTAAAGAGCATTTGCAGCCCACCTCGGCCCTCTCCCAGTCTCTTCTCATCACTTCCCACATACATACACTCCATCAGCATGCACTCCTTCGATGCTACCTACTCCCACTTTCTTGAACACATTGTGCAGAACTGAGTTCTTATACAGTCCAGTACCTCTAGAACGAATGCCATTTCTCTCTTACCCTTCAAATCCACGGAAATATTGTCTCTTCTCTCACGCCTGTTAAGTAGACTCCACAATCAACAGAGTCATTTATTCCCTACACAATGCCAGTATTATATACGCTTATATTTTTGCTGATTCCAAAATCATTATTTTTAATATTTAAAGTATTATTTTGTTTAATCAGTGCTGTTTTGTTTGTTTTTTTTTAATGTTGTTATATCCTCAATGAGCACAATGGAATATTTTCTAACAAAATCTGGCTAGTAGTAAACAGGCAAGAAAAGTTTATTTAATGAATGAATGAAATGGAGCTAGGATGATCATTTCCAGGACATATTATGTCAATGACATCAAATATGAATTCATTTTTGCTGGTTGAAGTCTATTTACACAAGCTAGTTGCCGTCAATCTTCTGGTCATCATAGTCATCAAAAATGCTAAATCATTGAGATGGCACATTATCACAACTGTGGTACCCACAGGAGAAGTGGAAGAACTCACAAAGAAAATCACATTTCTGGATCACATAAAAGCAGAAAAATAACTTCAGCATAAACTAACCTTAAAGGCAGGACAGACTAAGTGCCTCTGGGGAAAGGAACAAAGCAAGTATATAATTACTATAATAAACCATGGCACTTGTACATACAAGACGTAATAGAACAAGGGGTTGGAAAATATGGGTGTTAATGCTCAGATGGTCGAGATACTATGGTTCATTCTCTTTTCCAATCACTCATTATTAAGGGCTACAAAGACACTCTGTAATGTTTTCACTTCTTCTATTTTTTATTTTTTGGCTATTTGAATCAAAGTTGATATAACTGAATTGTAAATGAAATTATTTAGAAAGAGTTTCAGAGAAGAAATGATGTCACATGTGTGAATCCTTTTATTATCATATTCTGAGAATCTATTTATCACTAGAAACAGAGAAAGCCATCAAGAGACCATTTCTATATTCCATATAGGATCATTATTATGGTCATTGTGTCATAATTTTGAATATTCCAGAGCCTAAAATATTTTTTCTGTGTGCATTACAGTGACTGAGAAGGGTTATATGGTACTTGACTTATTTTAATAGAAAGTTATATCTGAAGGAAGTTAGTCATTCCCCTCAACACAGTCTTTTGAGGTGGACCAACGTGTTCTTGGCCAGAGAAACATACTTTTTATTTATTCTCAGAGTTACTCTCAAATACAATAGGACTATTCATTTAAATTTATGGATTTCTACCAGCATGCATGGCAGCTAATAGTCTACTGACTTCAGTCTTTGGTCTGTCCTGTTAAAATTTTCACAAGTAACCTTAATGAAGATTAGATGGCTTAAATAAAAGTGCAAATTTCTTTGAGTAGGTAGATTTGACAAGATGCCATTTAACGTCCTATTCAACTCTAAGTCATTAAGATTCTGATAGAAAATCACAGAATGTGACAGCTGGAAAGGACCTTAGAGATCTTCTCATTTAAACTCATTATCTTATAAGATACTCAGAGATACAAAGTGACTTGTCCAAATTCATACAGTGAATTAAGAGAACCAGCAGGGCTAGAAGCCAGGTTTTTTCCCTCTTGGCCAAGTATTCCTCCATTGCTTTGCACTGTATCTGTATGAGTGACTTCTTGGTTGGAGAAGAGGGATGCATTTAAATTAACTTAGGCTATTTGGCATAAGTTTGGTTGGTGAGATAAAACCGAGGCATGATAGAGGAAATAAAGTGTGGGAGAACTGAGCTGAATTATGTTACTTAAGGGTGGCTCTAATTTTTAACTTTTTATTACTTTAATACAGATGAAAAAGATTAGAAGTCTAATTGATTAGAAGTATAGCATAGCCACATAATCAAATATAAAAGCAATATAAACTATTCAATCTTGTACCTACCAAGTGCCAAGCTCTTGAGAGATGCAGACAAGCTGACTGGACCTTTAATGGGGATGATAAATATAATCCAATCCTTCAAAGAATGGAATGTGCAACATTTACAGATACAAACAACATAATCTTAAACAAAAAAGGTACTATGTTTACTTTACCTTACAGTTGTGTGTGAATCCCAGATTGATGTTGCCATAAGAACAACATCTTGGTCTGCATGAAGATCCTTAATCTGAATGAGAAATAATTGCTACTTTTATTCATTTATCCCTCAATGTGCAGCAGGCAGTTTGGTATCTTATATATATCATCTCACTTAATCAATAAAACAACTTTATGAGGGTGATACTCATAATTTTCATTTTAAAAATGAAGAAACTAAGTCATAGAAATTTAAGGGAAATGTTGCAGGTTATGGTTTGCTATTGTGAATCTTGACTTCGAATCCTGGCAGTCTGGCTCTAGAATCCTTGTATTTGCTTTCCTACTGCAAATGCTGATATTCCTCCCTCTGGTGGTTGGGAGGTGCCACTGCAGCTTCAATTATTTGCATACTTCAAGACAAGGAGAGACCAGGAAATTGCTGGTCAACCATTTACTAGCAAAGCAGCCGTCAGCAATCAGGTAACTATTTCCACCTGTTTCTCAAGACTACTAGAAGATAAAAACATACATACATAAGAACAACTGCCAGGTAACCAGTTGTCCTAGCCTACGTCATTCTGTAGTAATAAGCCAGGTAACTCCCCCTATAAATCCAGCACCAGCCAAAATCTGTACCTACTCATGGAACCAAAATTATATGCTGAAACACCTATTAATTCAACACTTGATTAAATAGAATGCGCGTGTTAATGCCTCATCTCAAAGAGAAAAGAACTCATGGAGTGGCCTTATTCACAAATGATAGACCTGACCACGCTGTCTGATATTTGAAGATTTGAACCGCACAGGTATTCATTAATTTACTACACGCTGTGAGGTTAATAAGAGGGCTGCCTGCTGGAGGTGATTGTGTGAATGTTGGCCTCCAAGATGTTCTGCCTTTGCTCCTCTGAATTTGGCAACAAGAGTCTGTGCTGACAGAGAAAAGTGGTGCCCTTTTTCAGGGTAAAAGCTTTTTCAAACATGCCCATGTACAACCAAACATTATTTTTAAATAATTGACTCAGCTCGCCCCATGCTAATAAGTGGCTTCCTTGATGATTTTGTTCTTATTGCACAAATGGGTAGCTGAATGGTAGCCACGGTGATTATTATTTTTTTCTTTAAGCTCTATACCTTTGCCAATTCTTGGAAATCTTGGGTATGTCAAGGTTTCAGAACTCTATCCCTTCAAACGCTTCACTATAATTTGAGTAAATTTTTATTTAGCACCTTCTATTCATTAAGTTTTCAAAATGCATTTACGAGTTCTTGTTATGCGCCGGTCAGGCAGAGTGCTCAGCGGTGGGGATACCCTGGTGAGAAAGATACACATATTTCTTGACTCCGTGGAACTCACGGTGGCAAAGGCACCGTAAAGAAACAAATAAAATCACTATGAACTGAGATAAGTTCTGCGAAGGACAAAAGTTAGACCTTGAGAATG